GTAGCCAAGCAGGCCAATGTTAACGGAATCCATAACATTTTGATATTAATCCTCTTATAAAGTATGCGTAGCTATATCTATGTCTGGCTTCGGAGACAAACACTTTATTACTTGATTGTAAACCATTTATTGTTAGTAGCGAGGAAAAGGATTCAGAAATAATTAAGCTGTCAACTTCAGTGTTGACAATAATTTTGAGTGCTACTAGTTCAACTTACAAGGTGGATGCCCAGTTACTAACGCTTACATTATATTCAATTGCGCTGCCGTCGGGCTGATGAGCAATAACAGCCCTTCTCTTCACCCCTGTAGCTGTATTAAGTGATCCGTTAGTGTATATGGTCTGTGAGATGATTATTTTAGTTTGTATATTGTATGTGTTCAAGGGCGCTTCATTTAGCAGCAAGCTGAGCATGAGGGTTGTTTATGATTAGTTTCTTGGTGGTGTATGCAGGGGTCAGGATGTTGTAGGGTACTCTCAGCCAGAGTGGTAGGAAGTGCTACACTCTTCCGTCTTGACTTATCTGGTGCAGTTCCGTCATTTTAATGTGAGTGACTGGACTCACTAGTGCCACTGTTACTTGCCATTACCGCCATGCAGAAGCTTTAGTCCCATCATAACATTGACTTCAAATATTCTGTATATTTGATGCTAGGTATATTTAGGTCTTTCTGCATATTAAGAACTTTTATGCTTGTTCGACACCCAAGTATAACTCTGAAGACTTCATTGTCTATATTTTGCCAAGTATAAATATTTTTGCTATGATAGAGGACTAAGGCTGTTGTTTGTCTATTAAAGACCTTGTATATGCTAAGTACATTGTTTTTATTATTATAATATTACCACGGCATTGATGACTGTAGCCCACTACAGTTCTCAGAGCCTTGAGTCTGTCTTTACATTGTTGATGTAACTTTTTGACTTGTGTTGAGATGTATCTAGTTGTCCAGGTTCCGTGAGACTGCCGGTCCATGAGACGGCCAGCTGCCCGGTGACATAACTCGTAGTAAGCAATTCTAATACTGGATTACCGGGTACACGATGTAGTAGTCTGAAGATATCATAGGTGATACCGTTCCCTTCCTAAAGATATCATATGTAATACCGTCCTCGTCCTAAAGATATCATAGGTGCAGCCCTCACCTACCGCGATGAGATCTGCATCCAATTCATATTCAGTATTTGGAACATCGCATTCATCATGTTACTTGTTCAACACGAAGTTAATGAGGGTATTTCTGTCTTTGGACTTTCCCCTTCAGTTTCTCCCTAGTGCTAGATGGTATTTTTTAAAGCTGAAGACCCGAGCCCGTTTCTTAATTAACTTACTGGCTTCGTGTAGAGGAATTGGATGTGGAGCTTGTCTTTTTTGACCAGTAATTTTGTTTATACCTTTCCAGTCTCAGGGAAGAATACTGGTTAAGTTCCCTAACAAAACCCACCCATTCATTTGGTCTAAGTTCAGTCATTCTCGCCCTTGCTGCTGCTGCTGCTGCTGCTGCTGCTGCTGCTCTTGCTGCTGCTGCTGCTGCTGCTCTTGCTGCTGCTGCTGCTGCTGCTCTTCCTGCTGCTGCTGCTGCTGCTGCTGCTGCTGCTCTTGCTGCTGCTGCTGCTGCTGCTGCTCTTGCTGCTGCTGCTCTTGCTGCTGCTGCTGCTGCTGCTCTCTTCCTGCTGCTGCTGCTGCTGCTGCTGCTGCTGCTCTTGCTGCTGCTGCTGCTGCTGCTGCTGCTCTTGCTGCTGCTGCTGCTCTTGCTGCTGCTGCTGCTGCTGCTGCTGCTGCTGCTGCTGCTGCTCTTGCTGCTGCTGCTGCTGCTCTTCCTGCTGCTGCTCTTCCTGCTGCTGCTGCTGCTGCTGCTGCTGCTGCTGCTGCTGCTGCTCTTGCTGCTGCTGCTGCTGCTCTTCCTGCTGCTGCTCTTCCTGCTGCTGCTGCTGCTGCTGCTGCTGCTGCTGCTGCTGCTGCTGCTGCTGCTGCTGCTGCTCTTGCTGCTGCTGCTGCTGCTGCTCTTCCTGCTGCTGCTGCTGCTGCTGCTGCTGCTGCTGCTGGTGCTGCTGCTGCTTGCTGCTGCTGCTGCTGCTGCTCTTCCTGCTGCTGCTGCTGCTGCTGCTGCTGCTCTTGCTGCTGCTGCTGCTGCTGCTGCTGCTGCTCTTCCTGCTGCTGCTGCTGCTGCTGCTGCTCTTGCTGCTGCTGCTGCTGCTGCTGCTGCTGCTGCAAGTGTGGCCTGACTAGTTCCAACATTTGAGAACATACTTTAATGCTTTGTCTGTTGTCTGGGTGATTGATTTAAGTTCTTCCAATTAAGAGTCATCATGGTAAAGGTTCTGTCTAACTTGCTTCCCGGTAAGGTGTGACTCACTGATTTTAATTGCCTCATAAAATTTATTTTCAGAGAGCATCATAAAAATTTTGTACATTCTCAGTCAGTATATTAAACTGTACGCTTTCTACATTGAAGACTCATATTTAGTGTTTATGTCATTTATGTACAGTTGTGTTAGGGGCAACATATTACACTAGGTAACGCAATTATTAGCCCTGGGTAGTGTTATTTCTTATTGCTTATGCCTCCAAGGTATAGAAAATGGATACTATTCCCCTCAAACTTTGCTGTGACCTTTGTCTCAGACAGCTTGAGGATGATGTCTTGAAGGTGCTGAAGGCTTCTGATTCCTTGACGAGAGCTGTGAAAATATGTCGCAATGTGTCACAGGCGTAGTTAAGGAGGCGGCAGCCTTCAGGCACCTTCATGACGTCTTCCCTAAACTGTCTGTGGCAGAGGTCACAACAATGTTTGAGGGGAATAATAACTATTTTCTATACATTGGTGCCATAAGCAATTGAAAATAAAACTACCCATGAAAAACTAACGTTACATAGTGTTATTATTTATGCATTATCCAATATTCTTCGTGAGTTAGTTAATGGGTAGAGGTTTTGAGGGCGGTGTAATACCACCTCTGCCGCCCCAGCGTACTATCAACCGCCCCCAGGGTGCAACACTCTCCTTCAACAACGTCTCTCCTTCAGGGCTTGAACCTTTCTGGGTGGGTACCAGCGACGTGGTGAACCAGGGGTACTGGACGTGGGTGGACGGGCGCCAGGTGGACATCACCGCCCCGTACTGGAACACCGACGAGCCACGAGCTGTCGAGGGACACGACTGTGCTTACTTAGCCTTTAATACCGAAATCGCTCACAGGTTGCGCCTCAAATCTGGCTTCTGTGATGATATCTGGCCCTTTCTGTGCCAGCTGGGTGTTCATGCTCTTAAGTAGGCCCGTAGGTCGTGTGAACTGAGTGACCAGCTCCCTGAGTGACCAGCTCCCTGAGTGACCAGCTGGTGAAAGTGACTAGCTGGTGAAAGTGACCAGCTGGTAAAAGTGACCAGCTCAAGTTAGTCTAGACACTACCAATACACACACAGTGTATAGTATCAGTTAACTTTACTCCTGTAATACATGCCTGTATTTTTGTATTATTTTGTGTTTATGGAGAGTTTGTCTAATACAATAACTTATGAGTGTATATAACAATCACGGCACGTCAGCTTGCCATACAATTATCACCACACTGATACAACAGTGTTGCTGTATTACTCATGCAACCCATTATTTGTTGGGTTTAATAAATGAATGACAAAGTGTGCACTTACAGTGTCACCATACCTGCCTCACTTACAGTGTCACTATACCTGCCTCACTTACAGTGTCACTATACCTGCCTCACTTACAGTGTCACTATACCTGCCTCACTTACAGTGTCACTATACCTGCCTCACTTACAGTGTCACTATACCTGCCTCACTTACAGTGTCACCATACCTGCCTCACTTACAGTGTCACTATACCTGCCTCACTTACAGTGTCACTATACCTGCCTCACTTACAGTGTCACTATACCTGCCTCACTTACAGTGTCACCATACCTGTCTCACTTACAGTGTCACCATACCTGCCTCACTTACAGTGCCACCATACCTGCCTCACTTACAGTGTCACTATACCTGCCTCACTTACAGTGTCACCATACCTGCCTCACTTACAGTGTCACCATACCTGTCTCACTTACAGTGTTACCATACCTGTCTCACTTACAGTGTCACCATGCCTGTCTCACTTACAGTGTCACCATACCTGTCTCACTTACAGTGTCACCATGCCTGTCTCACTTACAGTGTCACCATGCCTGTCTCACTTACAGTGTCACCATACCTGTCTCACTTACAGTGTCACCATGCCTGTCTCACTTACAGTGTCACTATACCTGTCTCACTTACAGTGTCACTTTACCTGCCTTACTTACAGTGTCACCATACCTGTCTCACTTACAGTGTCACCATACCTGTCTCACTTACAGTGTCACTATACCTGCCTCACTTACAGTGTCACTATACCTGCCTTACTTACAGTGTCACTATACCTGCCTTACTTACAGTGTCACTATACCTGCCTTACTTACAGTGTCACAATACTTGCCTCACTTACAGTGTCACTATACCTACCTTACTTACAGTGTCACTATACCTGCCTCACTTACAGTGTCACAATACTTGCCTCACTTACAGTGTCACTATACCTGCCTCACTTACAGTGTCACCATACCTGTCTCACTTACAGTGTCACTATACCTGCCTTACTTACAGTGTCACTATACCTGCCTTACTTACAGTGTCACAATACTTGCCTCACTTACAGTGTCACTATACCTACCTTACTTACAGTGTCACTATACCTGCCTCACTTACAGTGTCACAATACTTGCCTCACTTACAGTGCCACCATACCTGCCTCACTTACAGTGTCACTATACCTGCCTCACTTACAGTGTCACCATACCTGCCTCACTTACAGTGTCACTATACCTGCCTTACTTACAGTGTCACAATACTTGCCTCACTTACAGTGTCACTATACCTACCTTACTTACAGTGTCACTATACCTGCCTCACTTACAGTGTCACTATACCTGCCTCACTTACAGTGTCACTATACCTGCCTTACTTACAGTGTCACCATACCTGTCTCACTTACAGCTTCGCGGGTGGCATGGGTTCGAGTCCCGGCCAGGGAGGATTGACTAGGCGACAGTCCATAAATGTCTGCGCCTGTTCACTTGTTTGTTAACTGACTGGCAGATCGTGTTCCAAGGGAAGCCTTATGGGTACAGCTTACCATAAGCTGCCGAGTCACCCTACCATGAGCTATGGTAGGGGTCAGAGGCCGGCTGTGGCTGTAGCTTTGTTAAGAAAAACATCTTAACTAACTCCTGGGGTTTCTATTTATTGCTAGATTAATAGAGACATTAGGTGAAAGGAATCACGCCCAAACGTTTTCGTTCGGTGCGGGAATCGGACCCGAAATCTAGATTGCGAACAAGAAAAGATAATAATATAGAAACAATAACCAAATAAAGTTTCATTTAAATGGAGTAAAACGTCAATAAAGTACACAGTCGTCCAGGGTGTACGGTGTACTGCTGTTTGGATACAACAGGAGTACACTACACAGGGGCTACAACAGGAGTACACTACACAGGGTCTACAACAGGAGTACACTACACAGGGCCTACAACAGGAGTACACTACACAGAGGCTACAACAGGAGTACACTACACAGGGCCTACAACAGGAGTACACTACACAGAGGCTACAACAGGAGTACACTACACAGGGTCTACAACAGGAGTACACTACTCAGGGCCTACAACAGGAGTACACTACACAGAGGCTACAACAGGAGTACACTACACAGGGCCTACAACAGGAGTACAGTACACAGAGGCTACAACAGGAGTACACTACACAGGGTCTACAACAGGAGTACACCACACAGGGCATACAACAGGAGTACACTACACAGGGCCTACAACAGGAGTACACTACACAGGGTCTACAACAGGAGTACACTACACAGGGCCTACAACAGGAGTACACTACACAGAGGCTACAACAGGAGTACACTACACAGGGTCTACAACAGGAGTACACCACACAGGGCATACAACAGGAGTACACTACACAGGGCCTACAACAGGAGTACACTACACAGGGCCTACAACAGGAGTACACTACACAGGGCCTACAACAGGAGTACACTACACAGGGCCTACAACAGGAGTACACTACACAGAGGCTACAACAGGAGTACACTACACAGGGTCTACAACAGGAGTACACTACACAGGGCCTACAACAGGAGTACACTACACAGGGCCTACAACAGGAGTACACTACACAGGGCCTACAACAGGAGTACAGTACACAGAGGCTACAACAGGAGTACACTACACAGGGCCTACAACAGGAGTACACCACACAGGGGCTACAACTCCTACAGGTACGGTAGATAAACGTCCTATGAAAGCCTATGTGTGGGTGTTCACCTTTGCAACAACTGGCGCAGTTCACTTAGAGGTATTAACTCCTGATATAACTGTTCAATCAATACAGGTTTTCCCTACCACTGTTGCATGCAGGTGATGCACAAAACTCATGATGTCAGACAATGGAGCTAACTTGGTAGCAGAAATATACCAAGTTAGATTTAGTAGACCTCCAAATAAATCCCGTAAATCAGAAAATAAATAAAAGGAACAGATTTTCCGTAAATTTGAGTTTACGGGAAACTGTCCATACCTTGCAGTCTGTGCAACACTGCATCAATGTCAGTGTAAATGTAAATTTATTCAGCCTAGAGCCCTATGGGACGGAGGTGTTTATGAGAGATGATGGTTGGTGTTAGCAAACGATGCTAAAAAAAACTCTACACCGCCCAGAAAATAATTCTCACGAAACTAAGCAATAGTCGCGGAAATCGAGCAGAGTAAACAATCAACCATCAACCCTTGACCTACATGTCGGACGATCCTATATGTGACAATAAGTCCAGCCCAATTATAGGTGGACCTGTGACTCAAACACTGTCGTTTGCAGACGAGGCGGTCAGGGACTTCTCACACGTGGATGACAGAGAGAGTTGCTACGAGGTTACAACCACCTGTCCAATATAATATGTGGAATGAAGGATGGACTAAAGACATGACTAACAGAGTATCATTAAGATGCACTAACAGCATAGTGTGTGTAATGTGTTAGGATGCACTAAAAATACAATGAGTAAAGTGTTTAGAAAGTGCTGACAGCATAGTCGGAAAAGTGTTAGGAAGCGTTTACTGGGATGTGAGACATTGACGTTCCTGAGAGCACCACTTTAAAGAGGTGTGCTTCACCTGCGGACTCTCACAGCTGACTCACACAGCCGGCTGTCACAGCTGGCTCTCACAGCTGGCTCACAACTGGCTCTCACAACTAGCTCTCACGGCTGGCTCTCACAGCTGGCTCTCACAACTGGCACTCACATCTGGCTCTCACAGCTGGCTCTCACAACTGACTCTCACAGCTGAATCTCACACCTGGCTCTCACACTTGCCTCTCACGGCTGGCACTCACAACTGGCTCTCACAACTGGCTCTCACAACTGGTGTGGGAGAATTTGTCGGGATTAATATATAAGGAGAACTACTAACGACTTGTACTGTACTAAATTAAAAATTACTGTATGCAAAATTATTTCACCTAAACCCCTAGATAGGGTCGTAAATCCTAGCTCCTGTTTATGGTGCTAGTCCAGCCTAGCACCATAACTATAACAACCAATATTCATATATTAATAAACACAACAATTTATATTGTTGAAGTATGATATATATATGAATATGCAATCAAATGACCTTAAATGTGGTCTAAGTACTATTAACTAAATACAAGAGATTATATTCAACTTGATAAACTTATATGATAACTAAGTAAACAATTGTTAACTCAATGTATATGATCAATTGCATATATAAATATTTTCTCAATTTATATGAAGAAATTCAGTTGAGCTTGACTGGACTTTTCTTAGACAAGGGACACTCATGAGGCTCTGAATCTCGCGAGTGTCTGGTTACTTTAAAAAGATTCAGTCGCTATAATATTAATAAAACTTACTGAAATATGAGGTGTTGCCTCACCCTCTAACGACATACAGACTTATTGGATATATTAAGGTTATACAAGCATGCAATTGGCCAATTAACACACAAAAATAACTCAATATACTTATGTCTGAGTGCCGGGTGCCATCTGACAAGTGGCCAGACTGATAACTCTCTTGTAGAGATTTTAGGCACTTGATTTTATTTCACAGCTTTGCTGTTTATTATTCTTGTAGCATTGCTAAAAGATTATGTCCTTAATTGCGTTTGCAGTAGGCGAAGATAGGTGATGATGGTGGAGGTGGAGGCGGCGTCACAGGTGGATGAGCTCAACTCTGCACTCTTATTTAGATAATGTACTAAGAATTTTCCTTGTAGATACTCCCCCAGGTACTTCCTGGGGGAGTATCTACAGTATTTTCCTTTCCTGTCCAGGTACTCCCCAAGTTCTAGAGAGTAATCTCTGGTGATAAAGATATGTTATTATGGTGTCCTTTACAAAATAGCGTTCGCAAGGCACCACACGTTTCACTCTGTAAACAAATGCTTTCTGGCTGGGGGCCGTGGTGGGCGCTTCTCTCCCAGCCATCGTTGCCCCCATGCTCTCTGAGCGAGGTAGCCTTCAATGAATATTGATTGATTATTTTTACTGTCTAGACATATGATTGAGATAAAATGTGATTATAATATAATTAGATATAAGAGTTAAAGATTATAAGTAGTACTTGCTAGTACTACTGATATTTATTAAGGAATTGATTTAATCCTCTACCGGAAGTCGATTGATGTTCCAATAATTTTTTAATTAAGATATTCTTCTCGAAGCTTCAAGATCCTTGAGAAATCATGCACCAAGTCACGTAGACAAAAAAGGGCTCTATGGTGTATTTGATCATAGGTGGCATTGTCATGTAGGATTCAGAAGTATAATGAATCTGTAGTGAATCTGATATGATATGATATTGATTATGATATTATTTTGAAATAATACATTTCTTAGGTAATAACATAGATATAGTGGGTAAAATTTCCCACAACTGGCTCTCACACCTGTCTTTCACAACTGGCTCTCACACCTGCCTCTCACAACTGGCTCTCACAACTGGCTCTCACACCTGCCTCTCACAACTGGCTCTCACAGCTGGCCCTCACAACTGGCTCTCACACCTGCCTCTCACAACTGGCTCTCACAGCTGGCTTTCACAACTGGCTCTCACACCTGCCTCTCACAACTGGCTCTCACAGCTGACTCACAACTGGCTCTCACAGCTGGCTTTCACAACTGGCTCTCACACCTGCCTCTCACAACTGGCTCTCACAGCTGACTCACAACTGGCTCTCACAGCTGACTCACAACTGGCTCTCACAGCTGACTCTCACTCCTGGCTCTCACAGCTGACTCTCACTCCTGGCTCTCACAGATGGCTCTCACAACTGCCTTTCATAGCATACTCTCACATCTGGCTCTCACAGCTAGACCCTCACAGCTGGCTCTTACACCTGGCTCCCACAACTGGCTCTCACACCTGGCGTCAGTAGCCTCTCTCCTACCTAGCACTCAAACTTTATTAATGCATTCGACTCTTATACTGAAACATGTATCCAGCTCACACCACCAGTGTATCCAGCTGACTCACATTATAATTTGATATCATCTAGTTTTAATACATGTTGTTGTTGTTGTTGATTTAGGGGCGACGACGATCGGGGGATCGGATGCGCCCCGGCGTACCCGTGATGGGTTAATCGCGAAGCCTGGAAGGGTGGAACGCCAAGCCAAACCGCGAAACGAGTGACGCCAATCACTAGAAACTAATATGCCATACGGCAAATAAATGCACAGACGGGCAGATGATTGGGGAGCCCCCAGGAGTCCCTCAGGGTGACAAGCACCGGCCCCGCTCCACACAGAGAACAACAGGTAGCAAAACCAAAACTCGGCCCCAAACTAACACGCAAAAAGCCATCCAGTGTTCTCCGGCAAAGCAGAAGCCAGCCGCCCACCACGATTGAGGGCACACCAAGACCCGCCAACCCTCGGCACCTCTCGGCCAAGCCGGCCCCCCAACACTGTCACCCCGCCGGGAGAACCAGCCAGAACACGCCCAAAAAAAATCTATCAACAATCCCGTGACCCAAGACGATATGTGCGCCAGGCGTCATACAATCGGACCGTTGAAAAGTAATGCCAAACGGCAGTAGCAAAGCCAAAACGCGAAAACAAGACGTGTACAGGCGGCTCCCAGGCGGAGGAGGTGTCCAGACGTCCGCTCGGCTTCCAGGTTGAACCAGGAGTCCGTTTTAATACATTGCTGGGTGTTGGTGCTTGTTACGAACCCGATTCCATCGTCGGAGCATGGAGCAGTGACGTCAATGCCATCTATGAGTCCGCTCCCGAAATCCCCACAAATTGGACGACGCCATCTAGTGGTGACAGGATTATACCAGAAAGAGGCGCTAGATTCCTGTCCTAGTCAGCTCGAGAGGTAGCTGGTGCTGACCTCTGGTGAGGTGGCGCCTAGAAAATCAGCGCCATCTATTATAGGAGGAGTTGTATGTCTATGTCAGAGTATGTAAGTGATGTTTCCTAGTGTCCCATGTACTGACCAGTTTACTGATGACGTGTCTGTATCCACAGAGTCGACGTAGGGCTGCTGTGGTACGAGGACAGTCAGTCTACCCAGGGCAGCCAATAGCTCTCTACTCCATTCTGCTTTACGGAAGCAGTGAGCCGCCGCCGGAGAAGAACTGTGTAGTGTTCTACTGTCTGCCTGTGAAGTGGCAGTGACAGAATTCGGCGTACCCGGGACTGGCTAGAGGAAGAGACGACTGACAGTGAGGGGCTACGGAGGAGTGTAACAGTGAGTTGCAAGAACCTCCTGCCAGGGGTTCACTACCCTTGTATTTGAACGTGAGGAGGCCCAGCAGCGCGAGGCTGATGTTCTCTGCCAGCACCAGGGTGGAGAGTGATTGTGGGCGTGCACGAAGAGCACCTGGTGAGACTGTGTTTTGGCTGGCCCGTGACTAGGGTAGACTCGTTGGTGTTTCCCAGTGCTAGTTGAGGACGGTACTGTGTGTTGTGGAAACACGGTAGCTGACAAGACTGCAGCGATTGAGCATCGAGGAGCGCTTAGTGTCCTATGAGAGAGACACTTGTGTACATATTAAGTGTAGTAATACTTCCTTTAGGATTATATAAGAGGCAATGGGAAAGTGATTAAATGTGAATATATTGGTAATTGATGAAGTGTCGTATTCAATGCACCTCCCCCATTGTGGTTTACTTGCATTACTGAGCTCACTCCTTGAAAGCCACTACTAACTTGGGGCCGAATACCAGAACTTTAGTTCCACCAGCAAAGAACCCAGTTGCGACCCATTGTGGCCGTAACAGTGCTACATACATATTTCCAAGTTCAAGACAATGTTATGGTCGCTCCGGTTCGAATGTGCAGTCACAAAACATTGTAAGAGGCAATTGTAACAGATGTTTGCCATCAAATTCATTAGGCATATATTGATAACTATTTAATTGAACTGTCAAAATTTTTTGTCTCCTATATATTTTCTTATTTTTATTTTATATTCCACGGGAGCATAGATTTTTGTTAAGTTACAGATTACTGCACAAAATGTACTGAAGAGTTATCAATCAGGATATTTTGTATGAAGACATAAAATGTAATCAGATTATGTAAATACAAGTTATTGGACATTATATATAATGTTAAATTATTCCAATGGATATCGTTCAAGATTCTATGACTGCATTTTTTAGAGGAAATTCAAATTTCAAAACTGCATTTTTGAGCTTTCACATGATATCTGCTTTTTTAATCAGCTTTAATTAATTTTTCACCCAATAGACATAAAAATAGGCTTACAAATGCACTTTTATCAATTCTAAAAAAATAATGTTTTCATTTTTGCTTTCCAAACAATATTTTTATAAGTGAAAATATATAACATTGTTTTCTCTTGCCAATGTTGCCAAACAAATTACTGCAATACTACTTGTGTAAGCTGCAAGCACAAATTGGTCTTGTAGTACAGTCACATATGTATCAAAGGCTAGATCTTCGTGGGCTAGTGATAGGGATAGATTTAGTCTCCATGGTGTAGTGGTAAGACAATCGCCTGGCGTTCCGCGAGCACTTTGTCATGGGTTCGTATTCTGGCCGGGGAGGATTTACTGGGCGCAAATCCTTAACTGTAGCCTCTGTTTAACTCAACAGTAAAATGTGTACTTGGTTGTAACAACGATTCTTCGCGGCGGGGATCGTATTCCAGGGACCTGCCCGAAACACTACGCGTACTTGTGGCTGTACAAGAATGTAACAACTCTTGTATATATCTAAAAAAAAAAGATAGCAATTAAATATATATCTCAAATAATTGAGTTCAAAGCGGTCTGATATATACTGAATACATTTGAATCTTTTGCAACTATTAGATCATTATCAGAGCTTTCATTAGATGGTTATAATGTGTTATAATTTAGGAAAAACACGGAAAAACTGCCGAAACCATAAGGTAAGATAAGCTGATATGATTGAAGATAAAAGGAGGTAAACATTTCTCACTGTTCGGAAAAAGATGTAATCTGTAAGGTTAAGAGTTCCCAGGAACCAGCGGGTGTCGCAATGTTCCCAGGCAGCAGCGGGTGTCGCAATGTTCCCAGGCAGCAGCGGGTGTCGCATGTTGATGACACTATATAAGAATGGAGCTGACTCCCACGTCCAGAACCTTAACCATCACTGACATCGTGTAAGACCTCCGTCCAAGATCACTGCTAGAGGTCACCACCACCATCTGAGGTCCTGAAGTCACCACCACCACCCGAGGTCACCATGTTTGTGCTGGCGCTTCTAGTCATCGGCCTCCTGACACAGGGAGAAACTGGTAAGTGTATCAGAGTGAGGTCATGATGAACACACTGATCACAATAGTCAGTCACCTTATGCCTCCTCCTTGCGGGAGGAGCCCCACCGCGCTGCTCGCCTCCTTCATGGTACACAAATGGCAAAAAGTAATTCCTTCTGGCAGTTACCTATACAGCATTTTCCGTGTTATTAGCAGAGCAATACACTCGTCGCTCTAACACACCTCCCCCCTCCCACAATACACCTCCCCTCTCACAATACACCTCCCCCTCCCACAATACACCTCCCCCTCCCACAATACACTACTCCGCACCCCACCATGCCAATATATATATATATATATATATATATATATATATATATATATATATATATATATATATATATATATATATATATATATATATATATATATATATATACAGAATATGTGCAAACAGGCCAGAATTTCATTTAACCTTTGTAATCGCAAATTAATGACATTATGTAAAGACACCTCGAACACTGTTTATGTGGGACAGACATAATGTGTATTATGTCTATATATAATAATTATGTATATAGACAGACATCTGTGTATTTATGTCTGTAGGTTAGCTTAGCATTTTATAAGCACTACAGTCACCTTCTTCGGTTGATTGTTTAATAAATCACTGAACTATATGTTCAACGGATCTCTAACCCTGTCCATGGAGGACAGAAGACAATGTATATATAGCTGGTTAGCACTGTAAATGTGGCCACGTCTGTGGTAGAAAGTAATAATAAAAAAATAATAATAATTCACTCATGTCTTCTGGTGCAGGTGCTGCAGGTGCAGCCTCCTGCCCAGAACCCTTCGTCACGATCGGGGAGGGCTGCTACTTCTTCAGTTACTCGTTCGTGACGTGGCAAGAGGCGCGGACGACCTGCCAAGGTCTCCTGCCGGGGGAAGACGCCGACCTGGCCGTCCTGGACTCCACCTGCGACGACTTTAGACACATAGCATCATACGCCATCACCAACGGTAGTGATGGTTGTTGTTCTTGGTGTTGATGTGTGTGTGTGTACTCACCTATTTGTACTCATCTATTTGTGCTTGCAGGATCGAGCATTGACTCTTGGATCCCGCCTTTCCAGCCATCGGTTGTTTACAGCAATGACTCCTGTCCCATTTCCCTATCATACCAAATTTTAAAAGTATGAATAGAGTTTGCTTCCACAACCTGCTCCCCAAGTGCATTCCATTTTTCCACTACTCTCACGCTGAAAGAAAACTTCCTAACATCTCTGTGAGTCATCTGAGTTTCCAGCTTCCACCCATGTCCCCTCGTTCTGTTATTATTACGTGTGAACATTTCATCTATTTCCACTTTGTCAATTCCCCTGAGTATTTTATATGTTCCTATCATATCTCCTCTCTCTCCCTTCTTTTCTCTAGTGTCGTAAGGTTCAGTTCCTTCAGACGTTCTTCATATCCCATCCCTGGTAACTCTGGGACAAGCCTCGTCGCAAACCTCTGAACCTTCTCCAGTTTCCTTATGTGTTTCTTCAGGTGGGAGCTCCATGATGGCGCGGCATACTCTTAAGACTGGTCTCACGTAGGCAGTGTAAAGCACCCTAAAAGCCTCCTCACTTAGGTTTCTGAATGAAGTTCTAATTTTCGCCAGTGTAGAGTACGCTGCTGTCGTTATCCTATTTATATGTGCCTCGGGAGTTAGATTAGGTGTTACGTCCACTCCCAGGTCTCTTTCTCGAATCGTTACAGGTAGGCAGTTCCCCTTCATTGCGTACTGTCCCTTTGGTCGTCTATCACCTGATCCCATTTCCATAACTTTACATTTATTGGTGTTGAACTCCAGTAGCCATTTCCCAGACCATCTCTGCAACCTGTTTAAGTCCTCTTGGAGGATCCTACAATCCTCATCTGTCACAACTCTTCTCATTAATTTTGCGTCATCCGCAAACATTGACATGTATGATTCCACTCCTGTAAACATATCATTTACGTAAATTAGAAAGAGGATTGGGCCCAGCACCGATCCTTGAGGTACTCCACTCATTACTGTTCGCCAGTCTGACTTCTCGCCCCTTACCATTACCCTCTGGCTGTGTGTAATTACCTAAGTGTAATTACCTAAGTGTAGTTACAGGATGAGAGCTACGCTCGTGGTGTCCCGTCTTCCCAGCACTCTTTGTCATATAACGCTTTGAAACTACTGACGGTCTTGGCCTCCACCACCTGTTTGTGGTGTGTGTGTGTGTGTGTGTGTGTGTGTACTCCCCTAATTGTACTCAACTAATTGTGCTTGCGGGGGTTGAGCTTTGTCTCTTTAGTCCCGTCTCTCAACTGTCAGTCAACTGGTGTACAGATTCCTGAGCCTACTGGGCTCTATCATATCTACATTTGTATGGAGTCAGCCTCCACCACATCACTGCCTAGTGCATTCCATTTATTAACTACTCTGACACTGAAAAAATTCTTTCTAATGGCTATGTGGCTCATCTGGGTACTAATTTTCCACCTATGTCCCCTTGTTCGTGTCCCACCCGTGCTGAAGAGTTTGTCTTTGTCAATTTCGCTGATAATTTTGTAGGTGGTTATCATGTCTCCCCTTACTCTTCTGTTTTCCAGGGACGTGAGGTTCAGTTCCTTTAGCCTTTCCTCGTAGCTCATACCTCTCAGTTCCGGGACGAGCCTGGTAGCATACCGGTGAATCTTCTCTAACTTTGTCTTGTGTTTAACTAGGTATGGACTCCAGGCTGGAGCTGCATATTCCAGGATTGGTCTGACATAAGTGGTATACAGGGTCCTGAACGATTCCTTACACAAGTTTCTAAAGGCAGTTCTTATGTTGGCCGGTCTAGCATATGCCGCTGATGATATCCTTTTGATGTGGGCCTCTGGGGACAGGTTCGGTATATGTGTGTGTGTGTGTGTGTGTGTGCGCGCGTGTATTTACTATTTATTTGTTACTATTCTTGCGTGCAGAATCGAGCTATTAGCTCTCTGATAGCACCTTTCTAACCAATCTATTTTTTCTCTATTATTTCTACTACTACATATATTTCTCTCCAACACACATCACACACACACACACACACACACACACACACACATTCACCCTTATGAAGCAGCCCGTAGCAGCTGTCTAACTCCCAAAAACCTTATTTACTGGCAGGTAAACAGGAGGCATCAGGATGAACAAAAAACTCTGCCTATTTGTTTCAGCCTCAGCCAAATTACAACATTTTGCGATCTGACTGGGGCGTGAGAGTTTGACCGTTGTTACCGCAGGCTCGAGTGTGGTTAAGTTGGCTGTGAAAACCTGGTAGGGCCCAGGTTTGGGGCCTCCAGAACTTCCCTGGTAACTCAGTAGAGTTCTGGGTTAATCACCTATTGTATCACCGTGGCCGAACAGTTATGTATATATATATATATAATATATATATATATATATTATATAATATATATATATATATATATATATATATATATATATATATAGATATAATATATATATATATATGTCGTACCTAGTAGCCAGAACGCACTTCTCAGCCTACTATGCAAGGCCCGATTTGCCTAATAAGCCAAGTTTTCATGAATTATTTGTTTTTCGACTACCTAACCTACCTAACCTAACCTAACCTAACTTTCTCGGCTACCTAACCTAACCTAACCTTTAAAGATAGGATAGGATAGGTTAGGTTAGGTAGGGTTGGTTAGGTTCGGTCATATATCTACGTTAATTTTAACTCTAATAAAAAAAATTTACCACCCTGTAACACTGTAAAAGTGTTTGGGTTAGTTTATTTAAAATATATATAGAGTACACGAGTCACAGACAAGGATCTGAGAGGCGCCAGTTGTCTGCCTGAGATCTCACACCTCTAAGCGTTAATGACCCAAAGTGACCTGAGGTCAGATCATGCGAATTTCACCTTGCTTCTACTAATCTCTTAGTTGGAGCCGGGTAGCCTTCAAACATGCCGACGTTTAAGGAGTGGCTTGGTAGTGCCGGAGGCTATCTACTTGTGGGCGGAGTTAGCTACTAGGTTCCCCAATATAAACTCGGAGAGCTATCCAGCAAAAAGATTTAACAGACAGAGCAGCAGACGAGAGAGAGAAGACGTCCCTACCAGGGAGGCTGTCGGCCGGCAGGGGCGAGACAGTCTCTGTCAAGCTACAGACCCCCCCCCCCTCTCTATTCAACTTAGACTCAGTACTCGGTGAGTGAACATTAAGGTGACTTGGTCGTGTTTACATATGTTGTGTGATGATCAGGGGCAGTCAAGTTGTAGGGTTCTCGAATTCTTGGATGATGACTCACTTTGCATATTAAACTGGAACATTTTAATTGAATTGCTAAATTATGATACTTCATGTGAAATATAATTATGAATTTATTATTTAAATTGTGTTTAACTTTGCTCCCTAGAGCTTTGAGTTGAGGATTTGAGAAAGCCTCTGTGGTTACTGGGTTCATGATATAAATGAGTACATGTTTGGAGTTGATACATGGTACAGAGGGAACATACTAATAATGAACTCATGATAACATCCTTTGAGAATTTTGTGATACAGGCAAGTTCCATTCCTTGTCTTGTATGTAATGATCATGAATGGATGGTGGCAGCATTTCGTCTTCTACTATCTACTTTCTACAACTTCTATCTACTCTTCTACTTCTACCTATCTACACCTCTCCCTCCACCCATCTCTAAACTCTCACTTTCAACTAATGACCCTCCTCGCTCCTCCCACCTCCCTACCTCTTACCCCAAACCCTCACTAATTACTTCACTATTCATTTCTTTCCTTTCGTTTCCTCTTATACGTTTGTGGCAATGATTCTGTATTCTAGAGTTCTCTCTAGAGTTTCGGGTAGCTGATCCAGTTACGGCTCCTTGTAGTCTTAGCACCTAGGTAGTCAAATACCTAGGTTACAAGGTGTTGAACGAGAGAGGTTGCCTTAGGAACTCTGGAGGGTGCTCTAGAATAGTTAGCTAACTGGGGACGGGATAACGGACTAGAGAGAGCTGTTTCCCCCGGCCTCGTTAGTTAACTGGGGGGTGGAATAATGGACAAGATAGAGCTATTTCCCCCACCCCCCGTTACAATGTTGGCAGCGGTGTTGAACAATGTTGTAGGTAGTTGGTGTTCTTTTAACATTGTTCAGTCCCACGTGTCTTTTGCCGCTCAGGCGCTATCAGGGAGATCTTGACAGGTGTTTTACTTTCGCGATTTAGCGAGTTTTTTTTCAGGCTAGGAGATAGTGATTCTCTGGTGTTGTGGTTTAGTGATTTTGTGAGTTTTGTGAAGTTCAGGGAATGTTCACAAGAACTTGCGTGTGTAGTGATTTATGTTAGTGATAAGATTTGGCGATTTGGGAACCTAGCGGTTGGTGGGTAGTGCAGGTCAGCTGAGTGTGACAGGTGACCTCGCATGTCCCAGGGGGACACCCAGCCACCGCTGGTCTCCAGGTCAGTGGGGAGTGGCAGGTGTAGTTTTTAAATAGTTTAAGTGTGGTTCTGCTCAGATTATTGCGATCGACTGTTTTACTCCATTTGAACGCAATAACCCGAGGTGTACTGGTATTGTACAGCATGCTAGTGGGGACTAGTGTGTCAGTAGACTTCACGTTGGGGACGCTCGACGTTAGATAGTCTGGTCACAGGGGTGACAACAGTTTGGGAGTTGTTTACCGGCGGAGAAGCTAGGGAAACACTCTGGGTCACGTAGGTGGCTGTAGGTTAAGGGTGGGAGTAATGGTTAATTATGTACTTAAGATTAGGAACGGTACAGTTAAGTTTAGGCTAGTGTTTTGTCTATTAGTGTTGATTTTTTTTTGTGACAAGTTAAAAGTAGTGATGACCTTATTCTCTCTTCTCTAACTTTACTCTGTTACTGTTTTATGTTCCACCAAGTCAATATCATTCAGAGTTAATTGAATTATTAAAAATTGAAGTGTAGTTGTTGCCAGGAGGAGAGCGGTATGATAGGACTGTGTAACCCTATACAAACGACAGGGTCACACAAACATCTTGGGAACACGTATTGTCGCCTTTCTGTTCATTTCACAGGTGGGAGCCAGAAGAGAGGAGAGACGCACATACAGAAGAGGGAGACGGCTGCCTTATACCACACTCACGGCTGTTCCTCACCACCACGACGACCAGCCCCTACCTGGATGTCAGGGCCACCACCACCACCATCACCCCAGGGGACCCCAAGATGCAGCCCTCTCGGTCAGTCAACATTGGTCTACCCAGAGGACCCCAAGACGGACGGACCCCAGTGGACCCCAAGACGGACGGACCCCCAGTGGACCCCAGGTCGTTCTGCAGACGACCCCAGACGACCCAGTAATGATGGAAGAGGAGCAACAACGACTCCAGTCTGTCCCACCAACATCGGTCTACCCAGGATGGACCCCAGGACGGGACCCCAATGGACCCCAGGTCGCTTGTCAAAGACCCATGGGAGGAGGAAGAGAGAAGAAAGAAGAAAGAAAGAAGAAGAAGAAAGAAGAAAGAAGAAAGAAGAGAGAAGAAAGAAGAAGATAAGACAAGCTGAGACACGATACCTAGTGTCCCTTGCTGGTGTCAGCATCATTGCATCGAGCGTAATTGCAAGACAGGATCGTTTGCCTTGACTGGCCGCCCCTCCTGCAAGCAGGTAGCTCTGTTGAGTGATTCTTCCTGTGTCATGCAGACTTGATGTGGCTGTCAGAAGTAGCTCTCTGAAGGAGGCGTGCTGGAGCAACAGGGAGGAAGAAGAGTAGGATGGGATTTCTACTGTTGGCAACTATATGAAGGTCTCGAAACTTGTAGTCCCTATAGCTGTGAAGAACCCCAATATACGTCTCTCATGGTGACTGACGTAGGGCCAATTACAGATCAGCTGGGACAACCGAATTCCACGGTCCTGTGCGCAGTTCAAGTAGTAACGGCTTTCGGGTTGACCAAGGGTTGTTGTGCGTTAACGACGGAGAAGCGACGGAGGCAGTTGTGTTGAAGAAATGTGGTACAGGATTATCTACAAGACCAAGCAGTGACGTCGCCCAGCCAGAGACAATGGACGTCTGTCTATATATTTCATTTTTTAGAGTAGGATGATGTATATTTGTTTAGCTAGGATGTATTTTTTTTTTCGTTAATAAAGTTGTTGCACACAGCTAGCTTGCTTTAGCAGTGTTGCAAAAACTTTATTTCGGGGAGAAGGGGAGATGTAACACTGTAAAAGTGTTTGGGTTAGTTTATTTAAAATATATATAGAGTACACGAGTCACAGACAAGGATCTGAGAGGCGCCAGTTGTCTGCCTGAGATCTCACACCTCTAAGCGTTAATGACCCAAAGTGACCTGAGGTCAGATCATGCGAATTTCACCTTGCTTCTACTAATCTCTTAGTTGGAGCCGGGTAGCCTTCAAACATGCCGACGTTTAAGGAGTGGCTTGGTAGTGCCGGAGGCTATCTACTTGTGGGCGGAGTTAGCTACTAGGTTCCCCAATATAAACTCGGAGAGCTATCCAGCAAAAAGATTTAACAGACAGAGCAGCAGACGAGAGAGAGAAGACGTCCCTACCAGGGAGGCTGTCGGCCGGCAGGGGCGAGACAGTCTCTGTCAAGCTACAGACCCCCCCCCCCCTCTCTATTCAACTTAGACTCAGTACTCGGTGAGTGAACATTAAGGTGACTTGGTCGTGTTTACATATGTTGTGTGATGATCAGGGGCAGTCAAGTTGTAGGGTTCTCGAATTCTTGGATGATGACTCACTTTGCATATTAAACTGGAACATTTTAATTGAATTGCTAAATTATGATACTTCATGTGAAATATAATTATGAATTTATTATTTAAATTGTGTTTAACTTTGCTCCCTAGAGCTTTGAGTTGAGGATTTGAGAAAGCCTCTGTGGTTACTGGGTTCATGATATAAATGAGTACATGTTTGGAGTTGATACATGGTACAGAGGGAACATACTAATAATGAACTCATGATAACATCCTTTGAGAATTTTGTGATACAGGCAAGTTCCATTCCTTGTCTTGTATGTAATGATCATGAATGGATGGTGGCAGCATTTCGTCTTCTACTATCTACTTTCTACAACTTCTATCTACTCTTCTACTTCTACCTATCTACACCTCTCCCTCCACCCATCTCTAAACTCTCACTTTCAACTAATGACCCTCCTCGCTCCTCCCACCTCCCTACCTCTTACCCCAAACCCTCACTAATTACTTCACTATTCATTTCTTTCCTTTCGTTTCCTCTTATACGTTTGTGGCAATGATTCTGTATTCTAGAGTTCTCTCTAGAGTTTCGGGTAGCTGATCCAGTTACGGCTCCTTGTAGTCTTAGCACCTAGGTAGTCAAATACCTAGGTTACAAGGTGTTGAACGAGAGAGGTTGCCTTAGGAACTCTGGAGGGTGCTCTAGAATAGTTAGCTAACTGGGGACGGGATAACGGACTAGAGAGAGCTGTTTCCCCCGGCCTCGTTAGTTAACTGGGGGGTGGAATAATGGACAAGATAGAGCTATTTCCCCCACCCCCCGTTACAATGTTTTTCTTTTTAAGAAACTGTGCCATCTGTTGCACATAAGAGCAGCACATGCAGTAATAAATATGTTACGATTCAATTTCAATGTTCCGATAGCACTGGCAAATTGAATTATCATACGTTTCGATTTATTTTCATTTATATTTAATTATTTTGTGTGACATTGCATTGGAATTGAGCTGTTGTTTACCATACCGTTCATGTCGTGAGTATACTTTTTTCTGTTTTTTTCATTGTTTTTCATTTCATTTTGTAACTGTTTTCCTTATATTGCAGTGATGGGAACATCAGATCATTTGATGTTCCCAATTTTCTGATGGGAACAGCAAATAATTTGGGAATGCATCAGATGAAGGAGTGGGGAATTTGGGGAGGACGAGGGGACAGGGGAGGGGGTAATGGTGGAGATGACGAGGGAACCGGGGGAATTGGGGACGAGGGGACAGACGAATGGAGAATGGTGGGGAGGATAAGGGGAAAAGAGGAGTGGGGGATGGTGGGAAGGATGAGGGGAGGGGGGGACTGGTAGGGAGGACTAGAGGACAGGGGAGTGGGGGATGGTTGGGGAGGAGGGGACGGTGGAGTTGGAAATGGTGGGGAGGAAGAGGGGATACTGGAGTGGGGGGATGGTGGAGAGGACAAAGGGAGGTGGGATGGGGGAGAATGGTGGGGAGGACGAGAGGATGGGGGGGGGGGAAGTGGGGAATGAGGCAGTAGGGAATTGTTGGGAGAATTAGAGGATGGTGGAGTGGGGGAATAGTGGGCAGGACTGGGAGACAAGGGAAGGTTGCTGAGGCTCAGCAACAAGTGGCCGGGTACAGCTAGTATATAAATATACTAGCTATATGTATATATATATATATATATATATATATATATATATATATATATATATATATATATATATAATGCCTGAATGGTCCCCAGGCATATATGCAACCAAAAACTCACACCCCAGAAGTGACTCGAACCCCATGCTGCGAGGAGCATTATGCAATTGATGTACTGGACACCTTGTACGTCCAACGTGCTGTCCAGTCAGCCACCGGCCCCCTGAGTGTCTGTGTGTGTGTGTGTGTGTGTGTGTGTGTGTTATTGAATATGAAGATTCCATAGAGGAATTCCATAGAGGAATATGAAGATTTTCCATAGAGGAATAGAGAGGATTTTCTAGTTTAAGGCTTCTGTTTCACTAACAAGTGTTATTGCATCTATGTTTAATTGGATAGTTCTGGTAATGTCATATTTGTTCAAGGTTTGACGAAAAGAACAAGATTAACTGTATTCTATATTATACTTGTAATAATTTACACAACTTTTCGAACCTACACGGCTTCATTCTCGAGTGGAGAATGACAAGACATTACGGAACATCTGATTTATAACACTAGCAAGTCAGTTGCAAACAAAATTATACCATGTGAATGACGAAAGAAATAAAGAGTTTCTTTTATTAGGCCTCTGTAAGCCCCCCGCCCCCTCCTCCCCCTCCACACAAACACAAACTCCAAGCACTCTCAGCCTTCCTCCAGGATAGAACAGTCTCTCTTTCAACAACTTCTCTCCATCAGAGTTGACGCCTTTCTGGGTGGGTGCCTCTGACGACCTGATCGAGGGGTACTGGACGTGGGTGGACGGGCGCCCGGTGGACATGACCGCCTCCTACTGGAACACTGAAGAGCCACTTGATGGAAATTCATACAACTGTGCTTACTTAGCCTTTCACTCCGAAAAGACGTTCAGGCTGCGTCTGAACGCTGACTACTGTTTTGATATCTGGCCGTGTCTGTGCCAGCTGGGTGTTCATTCTCTTAAATAGCCGGGTAGTTGGTGTGAGGTGAGTGACCAAGCTCATACTAGCTCGGTGTCCACACTTGCATGACATGTACAGTGTGTAGCGGCAGTTGATCATACTCCAGCAATATATATGCTTCTCTCAGTTAGTCTAACAACTGCAACTAATCTCCCTGTATACTACATGTATTTCCTGCAACATTTAATCGTTTCTAAATTCCTGCTCCACCTGCATAATATTAATTACTTGAGAAAGGAAGGTTGAATAGTGAGTGTGTGGGGGGGGAAGGGGGGAGCACAAAGAAGAAACTATATAGCAAGTTAGATTTATATATTGCTAATATAAAATGAATAAAGTTCACTGGTCCTCTCCCACACTATTGTTCTAAAACTAAATTGGTTATTAACTACACAACTTGGCCCGGGACCCAGTGGGCATTTTTGGTTGCTTTAACGTCGCCCACCGACGTTGTTTGACCGTATTATGGTTGACTATTAAAGTATGTTAAGTTTCAAAGGTGAGATTATGTTGCAATCAGGTTTAGATATGGTTTGGTTTCTTTCAACGTTAATAAACCATTGGAATTTGCACACGCATTCATACATGTGTGCACGCAAATGCACACTCGCCCGCACGCAAGAGCACAAGGAAAGAACATATTAGAAGGAAAGATTGGATTCTTTCCATACGTTATATGACAAATAATATTAAATATTTCAGATAGTTATGAAGAAAATGAAAAAAAATCATCATTTTCTAAGAGAAAATATTATCCCATTGACTCAATAGCAAGTTAAAAATGTTTCCATTGCATTGAATATCATAATACAGCAAGTAGGCCCATTAACCAGGACCTGCTATGAAATAGCATTGCAAAATAAAGAAAACAAATATTTCTGATCTATTTTTCCCCAATATAGATTGTCTCTTCTAATTTTTCTTGTTTTACATTTTCATTAAGAAACACAAAGATCTTTCCTAGGCTCCATTACTTATTGTAGTATAATATAGTGACCGAGTCTTGATCACAGAGTAGTAGGTGATCACTACGGTCTGTGGGGTCACTTTACCAGTAACTGACCACACCCAACAGTGTTCAACACACTGCTATGAACGTCTTCCAGTGCACAACATATTTTTGTAATAGAGTAATATTTAACCTTCAATGAAATGATCCCAAAAGTAAATTCGGCCATTTGGAAAAATGCAGACATTTATTGAATAATTTATTAAATAAAATAATCAAACGTGTTTCATGAGTCCGTAAATTATGTATTAAGATGCTTACCCGTCGAAACATCTGGAGGATTGTATCCATGAGATCGGAAATGCTACATATGTGTCTAAGTGCGACCTCTCGAGAGGATATTATCAGATACCTCTCACTGGACGCACCAAGGAACTAACAGCATTCGTAACGCCCGATGGTGTCTTCCGGTATTTGGTATTGCCGTTCGGACTACGGAATGCCTCCACAACATTCCATAGACTAATGAACTCTCTGCTAACAAATGTTCCCAATGTAGGGCTAACTTGGATGATACTGTGTTGTATAATAGTAGTTGGCTAAATGTGATACCTGATGCATTATCCCGGTTGCCTGAGTAGAGTACATCTGAGCCGAGAGGAAATAACAAACCCATTGTCAGAGGTTAAGTATAGTTCTTAGGTTCTCCTCTTACATTGATTATTCTTTGTCAGATGTGGGTTTTTTTTCTTTCAGGGTAAATTGTTTTGTTTTTATTGGCTGATTCGTTGTACGCTCTTACAATAAATGTATCTACTAATCTAGTAGCCATATTTTTACCCCTGGTGGAGAGGAGTGTTACGACCCTGGGCCAAAGATTGTACTTTGGCAAATGGATCCAGGATCGTCTTGCATTTGTTTACATATGTAATAGGGACCCGTCACTCTCTAAGGTATTTTAATAAAAGAACTTCAATGTGTGGGATTAGTGTTATTTAAATTATATAGTGTTAGATAGGTTTAGGTTAAAGGAGTGAGCTCTCTGGCAGTTTATATACAAGAGGACTGATCCTCATTTTGCAAAGAGCAAAATGAGGATCAGTCTTCATTATATCATACGTTTTCACTAATATACCAATTAGTGAAAACGGCGATGGGTCACATTTTTAACAAACCCCACTGTAGTTTTCACAATATCGGAAATATCGCAAATCTGACTCATGAGCGTTATTTTTTAGACGAAAACTGACTCTCTGTACAAATATGGAGTTTGAAATTACGACTTTTTATACCGAAAATATGCCAATTAGTGACCTGAAATCTCCAAAGGAATTTGTTGACTTACTGCTGGGAACCTGATGTCAAAATTATATATTATATATAATATAACACAAGGTGTCTTTGGGGAATACAAACCTGGGTATGCGTATGGAAATGTCAAGACACACAAGCCTGGAAACCCACTTCGGCCAATCATCAGCCAGATACTCACACCCACATACAGACTGGCGAAGCGACTCTACGGCTTGCTGACCTTATGTACCTTGTGCTTTCAGCCTGAAGTCTCCAAGGGAATTTGTTGGCTTACTGCGGGGAACACGGGCCACAGGGATAAGAGCTTCGTTGGACGTAGAATCACTGTTTACCAACGTACCTGTGGACGAAACAATCGGGATGATAGCGGACAGAGTATATCGTAATCCGGCCTGTACTCCTCTTGACATACCAGAAAACATTCTAAGGAAACTACTCCAAGCTTGCACTAAAGAAGCACCCTTCTTGAGCCCGGATGGGCACATGTATAAGCAAGTTAATGGGGTCGCTATGGGTTCTCCCCTAGGTACCCTGTTTGCGAACTTTTACATGGGTACCATCGAACAGAAGGTCTTAGTTGGCATGAACTTGAAGCCTACCATATACTGCAGATATGTTGACGACATTTTTAAACCGGTACCTGATGTCAGACGTCTGCGGGAGCTGAAGGGGGCATTCAAGCAGAATTCTGTGTTTAGTTTCACTTACGAGATGGAGAAGGATGGGAAGCTACCCTTTCTAGATGTAACAGTCATGGAAAGGAGCAGAGGTTTCCACACTGAGGTCTACACTAAGGAAACAAACATAGGAATATGCCTCGATGCTAACAGTGACTGCCCAGACAGGTACAAGAGAAGTGTTGTCAACGCTTATGTCGACTGTGCTCTCAGCCACAGCTCAGGATGGAAGCAAGTCGATGAAGAACTCTGAAGGGTAAGGCAGGTCCTAGTCAACAACGGCTTCTCCACTGGTTTTGTTGAAGACGTTGTTGTCTTGCCTATATACTGAGTTCTTTGGGGCTTACAGTCCCCAAGTGGGCATTTGAAGGCATAGACGATGTTGGTTTCCTTCAAGGCGTTCTGCTTGGTGCCTGGGGAGTTTTTCTTGGGTAAGTTGGCCATTTTTTTGTTTTATAGTAAATTGTCAATTGTGTTTTCTGATTTTTGTCTGTAGGAATAACGTTCCTATCAGCAATTTCTTTCAGGACCCTTTCCTCCATTTTATGAGCTGTCGAAAAGAAGTTACTGTAAAATAGTCTAATAGGAGGGTAAAAGTGGTGTGTTAGTTGACTCTTCAGAGGTTGCAAGGCATTTCACCTTTCTTTTAATGATGTCTTCAACAAAACCGTTAGAGAAGCCATTATTGACTAGGACCTGCCTTACTCCACAGAGTTCTTCATCGACTTGCTTCCATCCTGAGCTCCGGCTGAGAGCCCAGTCGACATAAGCGTTGACAACACTCCTCTTGTGCCTGTCTGGGAAGACACTATTGGCATCGAGGCACATTCCTATGTTAGTTTCCTTAGTGTAGACTGCAGTATGGAAGCCTCCGCTCCTTTCCGTGACTGTTACATCCAGAAAGAGCAGTTTCCCATCATTCTCCATCTCGTAAGTGAAACTCAACACAGAATTCTGCTGAAATGTCTCCTTCAGCTCCTGCAGACGTCTGGCATCAGGTACCTGTGTAAAAATGTCAACATACCTGCAGCATATGACAGTTTTCAAATTCATATCAACTAAGACCTTCTGCTCGATGGTACCCATGTAGAAGTTCGCGTACAGGACACCTAGGGGAGAACCCATGGCGACCCCATCTACTTGCTTATACATGTGCCCATCCGGGCTCAAGAAGGGTGTCTCTTTAGTGCAGGCTTGGAGTAGTTTCCTAAGAATGTTTTCTGGTATGTCAAGAGGAGTACAAGCCGAATCACGATACACTCTGTCTGCTACCATCCCGCTTGTTTCATCCACAGGTACGTTGGTATTAGTGATTCTACATCCAACGAGGCTCTTATCCCTGTGGCCCGTGTTCCCCGCAGGAAGTCAACAAATTCCTTTGGAGACTTCAGGCTGAAAGAGCAATGTACATAAGAAGTCAGCAAGCCGATGAGTCGCTTCGCAAGTCTGTATGTGGATGTGGGTATCTGGCTGATGATTGGCCAAAGTGGGTTTCCAGGCTTGTGGGGGTCTTGACATTCCCATATGCATAACCAGGTTTGTGTTCCCTGATAATCTTTGGCAGGTGGAGTCCGGATTTCTTGGCGTTCGCAGCTTCGATCAATCTGTTTACCTTCGTTTAAATTCCTTCGTTACCCTTTAGAATTTAGTTTGATCAGAGAGTATGAGGTTCATCTTTGCCAGATATTCGTCTTTTTTAAGAATCGCGTATATTGGCGACTTGTCACCTCTCCTGACAACTATCTCCTTGTTCTCGCAAAGGCTCTTAGCTGCCGCTTTGAGCTCGGGGGACAGGATGGTGCTTCTGTAGTTACCTGGAATCTTTCCTCCTGCAATAAGTTCTCCTTGCAAGGTGTCTTTAGTGGTAACTTTCTTTAGCATTTCGAGGTCGAATATATCGTCCAAGAGGATCTCCAACTCCACTTTCCGGGCCATCTCACTTGGTCTGGACATAACGTGACAGTTATGTCCCTGATTTAAGAGTGGCTCACTGCATATGTATGGAGTTTGAAATTACGACTTTTTATACCGAAAATATGCCAATTACTGTAACGGCCATGGGTCACACTTTGCACAAACCCCCCTACAGTTTTCAAAATAGCAGATATATCGCAAATGTAACTAATGAGCATTATTTTTTAGCTAAATTCTGACTCACTGCACATATTTTATGTTTGAAAATATCCCAATTAGTGAAAACGGCGATGGGTCACATTTTACCCAAATCCCCCTACAGTTTTCAAAATATCAGAAATATCAGAAATCTGACCCATGAGCCAAGTTTAGACTCATTGCACATATTTGGTGTTTGAAAATATGCCGATTAGTGAAAACAGGGATGGGTTACATTTTACCCAAACTCCTCTACAGTTTTCAAAATGTCTGTTATATTGCAAATATGACTCAGGAGCGTTATTTTTTAGCCGAATTCTGGCTCACTGCACATACTTGGAGTTTGAAATTTCGACTTTTTATACCGAAAATATGCCAATTACTGAAAACGGTGATGGGTCACATTTTGCCTAAACCCCCCGCCAGTTTTCACAATATCGGAAATATAGTAAATCTGACTCATGAGAGTTATTTTCAAGTCAAATTAGGGTTCATAGCACATATTTGGAGTTTGAAATTTCGAATTTTTATACCAAAAATATGACAATTATTGTAACAGCGATGGGTCAAACTTTGCCCAAATCTCCTTGCAGTTTTAAAAATATCGGAAAATTCGCAAATCTGGCTCATGAGCGTTTTTTTTAGCCGAATTCTGGCTCACTGCATATATATATATATATATATATATATATATATATATATATATATATATATATATATATATATATATATATATATATATATATATATATATATATATATATATATATATATATATGCGAACAAGCCTGATGGTCCCCAGGACTATATGCGAATGAAAACTCACACCCCAGAAGTGACTCGAACCCATACTCCCAGAAGCAACGCAACTGGTAACTACAGGGCGCCTTAATCCGCTTGACCATCACGGCCGTCAAAAGGAAGTGATAGCCGAGGCTATTTGAGCCACTTCCCCGACGGCAACTCGGATGGTAATCTTGGGCATAGCATGTCACCAAATCACCTCATTCTTTGGGGCACACGTGAGGAACACAAATGCGAACAAGCCTGAATGGTCCCCAGGACTATATGCGAATGAAAACTCACACCCCAGAAGTGACTCGAACCCATACTCCCAGAAGCAACGCAACTGGTAACTACAGGGCGCCTTAATCCGCTTGACCATCACGGCCGTCAAAAGGAAGTGATAGCCGAGGCTATTTGAGCCACTTCCTGTGGCTCATATATATATATATATATATATATATATATATATATATATATATATATATATATATACATATATATATATATATATATATATATATATATATATATATATATGTCGTACCTAGTAGCCAGAACGCACTTCTCAGCCTACTATGCAAGGCCCGATTTGCCTAATAAGCCAAGTTTTCATGAATTAGTTGTTTTTCGACTACCTAACCTACCTAACCTAACCTAACCTAACTTTTTCGGCTACCTAACCAAACCTAACCTATAGAGATAGGTTAGGTTAGGTAGGGTTGGTTAGGTTCGGGCATATATCTACGTTAATTTTAACTCCAATAAAATTTTTTTTACCTCATACATAATGAAATGGGTAGCTTTATCATTTCATAAGAAAAAAATTTGAAAAAATATATTAATTCAGGAAAACTTGGCTTATTAGGCAAATCGGGCCTTGAATAGTAGGCCAAAAAGTGAGTTCTGGCTACTAGGTACGACATATATATATATAT